GAAGCATGGTCTCTTTCCTTTCTCTTCTCCATATTATTATTAATTATTATTATTATTTCTTCTCCTCCTCCTCCTCCTCCTCCTCCTCCTCTTCTTCTTCTTCCTCTTCTCCTCCTCCTCTTCCTCCTCCTCCTCTTCCTCCTCCTCCTCTTCCTCCTCCTCCTCCTCCTATTCCTCCTCCTTCTCCTTCTTCTCATCAACATCCTCTCATCAGAAGTAAATTGATAGAACAAAAACACATTTCTGTTTTTTGTGTACGTATTTAAATGTCATGGGGAGATAAATGTGAGCCCAGGGGTCTGGGTTAGTTGTTACTGTTATGCTTCCTTGGGGTTGCCATTGCCTTCAGCTCCTTTAATCCTTCCCCTAACTCTTTCATGGGGTCCCAAACCTCAGTCCAGTAGCTGGCTGTGAGTATCTGTATCTGTCTCAGTCAGCTGCCAGAAGAAACTGTCAGAGGATATCCAAGCTAGGCTCCTGTCTTCATCTGAATTTTTGAAACAGGTTCTATCACTGAAACTAAAGCTTGCCATTTCAGCTAGATTGGCTAGCTAGCTAGACATATGCTCCGGCACCGATGGGGTTAGGGGAACACTTCACAATGCCCAGCTTTTCTCCTGCTGCTGGGGATCTGAACTCAGGTCCCTGTGTTTGCATAGCAAGCACTTTCCCCATTGAGCTCCCTCCTCAGCCCTGCAGATGTACTTATTAAAAAACAAAACAAAACAAAAAACCCAAGTAGTTTAATTCAGTGTATATCTAAGATTATATTAATTACATTTCTTTGGAATTCTAATGACCATGGCCTAAGACCTCGTTATGCTAATAGCTGTCCGTTTATGAGCCCACTTACAGAAAGTACAAATCTGTTTCGGGAAGGCATCACAGAGAAGTTAGATATCTATCTATCTCTCTCTCTCTCTCTCTCTCTCTCTCTCTCTCTCTCTCTCTCTCTGTTTTTTAACAGCCTCTAAAATTGCAGGCAAATCTTCATTCACTAAGAAGGTATCTCCTTTCTTGTTACTAAAATTTCTCAACTCAGATCCCTATATTGTCATTACTGTTCAACTTCAGTTATCGGGAATATATGTTGTTCAGTGTAAATCTTTCCTCCTTTTACAAAATGGCAATAGAGGAGACTGGAGAGATGGCTTAATAGGTAAAGGTTCAGTTTCCAGCACACACATAGCAACTCACAACCAATTAAAACTTCAGTTTCAAGGGATCTGATGCCCTCTTCTGGTCTTTATTGGCACCAGGTATGCATATGGTGCACAGATATACATGCAGGCAAAACACCCATACATATAAAATAAAACAATTAAAATTCAATGACAATATATAGAATTTAAGGCTCTAATCAGAAATGTTTTGGAAGGATTACGATGGAAACAAGCAAAAATGCCATTGACTCATAGGACAGAAACTGACTCAGTTCCCCACTAAGGAAATAGCCACAGCCTTTGACAGTCACCTATAACTTTGAAACCACAATTCCCACTTTTGAGACTTCAGGTATTTTAAGATGTTTCTATTGATGTCGATATTCTTACTGTGTTGAATTTTTTTTTACCTAAATTTTGTATTCTTGACTTTTAAACTTTGGATTGTTTTAGTCTTTCAGGAGTCTCAGATTACATTGATAATCTACAGAAAGAAGAGGTTTCCTCTCTTGGGAAATGCATGTACATGTGGGCCTGCCAAATTACCACCAATTTTTCACAAGTATTCTTACAAGTAGTTAGTGTGCATTTGTGTGTGTGTGTGTGTGTGTGTGTGCGCGCGCATGCATGCAACACATTGTGTATACATATGATTTTAAAATGCTAGGTCAACTATGCCTACACACCCTCACTTGGGTGTTATTTACAGAAAATAATATTAAGATTCAGAAATGCCCAGGCTACCTGAGCCCCTTCATTCTCTGAAGAGATGGTTATCTTTGCCTAATGTCTCTATTAGTTTTCACAGCTACCAATAAACATTTCAGATCATTTCAGATTTCTTGGCATATAGTGATATATGTGTGTGTGTGTATATATATATATATATGAATTTTTTTCTTACAAAAACCTGTGAGGTGTTGGCAGTATAACACATTTTATAAAAGTATATTAAGGACCTTAAGTTTCTTTAGACCCAGATATCATGTGTCAAAATACAATTCTCAAGACATTAAGCATAGTTTTCATACACAAGGACAGAGAGCAGATGCTGAGATTTAATTTAGCTCAGCTAGCAAGTTGACAAAGCCAGCTTGAGATCTGCATCCATTGCTTCAGCAAATCAGATGCATAAAGGTACATTTCTGTGGCAGCCCCAAGGGAGGTCAATTTTCCCTTTATCAATTCTTTGATTTATAGAAACCATTTGAACGCAAAACCTGAAAACTCTGTCTAGATAAGGTGTCTGGTGCTAAGATGGGTCTATTTTGCTCTTCTAAGACCCGTGGTTCTTCACCATTCGTCACACTCTTCTGAATGGCATGTGAAACAGATTGTGGAGTCCACTGTAGCTTTCTGCAGAGCTGAGCCTGTGTTTGTAACAGGCATCCATTGGTGTGGCTTGCTGTTCCTGGGTTATGTTGCCTGAAGATCTAGTGATGTACTGGCAGGGTAGCCTAAATCAGGAGGAAGCCTCAGTGGCCTCTGATTGGCTCTTGTCATTTCCCCTATGCCGTTTCCATTTGCCTTCTCTGTCTCATCTGTACACACCAGACCATCCACCCCTGTGGCTTCCATTCCCAAGTCTTGATCCAGCACATCTGCCCTCTGTGGATGTTCCTGTAACTGAAACTTTCAAATCTTCAGTAACAGTCAAATTTGCAGTATCTTCCCCACAGAGGCCTGGCCACCCTTACTTGTGCTGTTTCTGTCAATGAGTTTAATTTTCCTTCCAACTAGTGTTAGAAGGCTCCAAGCCATGTGTTGTTGTAAACACTAAGGCACTACTCCCTGGTAATCACTAATGAGCTCCCACTAAGAGGTATACTTTTTAACTTTTGCATGTTTGAAGGTGTAAGGAGATGATCCTGGCTTTCCCCTCTGCCAGGCTCCAAAAAGTAAACAAGGCTGGGTTGACACCATCAGACTTGCTTAGAGGCCTCCAACCCTACACAAAGAACTCCAGGCAACCAAGGAATGTGGAAAGCCTAAGAAGTCTACTGCTCTACGTATCAGCCTCTGAATTGGCTGTCCAATACCAAATGATCGTCCTTGAAATTATATAGTACAAGTAACAGTATATGCTAATCATTATTAGTTAGAGAAAATAGGCCAGAGGCCATTAAGTTAGAGAGAACAGAGAGGCCCCCTGCTCTCTCTGCTCAACATGGGAGCAATTGGAGGGAGAAAGGAAAAATGACATAATTATCTTTTAATTTGAAAATTTCAAAAAAAAATGTAAAAGTTTCAGTGACTCCAAGGAAATGTGAAGACTGAGAATATTAACACAGGAAGGGGGTGGAGCTGCTCTCGGCACTCTGGAAAGATTATGAAGGACTGGTTTCAAGGGATGATTAAATGTGTACCTGGGAGGTGGAGGCGATCGGGACAGGATGTGTGTTTCAGGAGTTTGGCAGGGCAGAGAAGGGGTGATTAAGGAAATTATCAGAAGAGATCGCGCTCGCTCATAGGAACCTTATTTGTAATAGCCAGAAGCTGGAAACAACCCAGATGTCCCTCAAATGAAGAATGGATACAGCTATTAAGAATAAAGACATCATGAATTTTGCAGGCAAATGGATGGAAGTAGAAAATATAATTCTGAGTGAGGTAACCCACACCACCCCCATAAAACATACATGACAGGAGCCTAGCATGGCTGTCCTCTGAGAAGCCCAACCAGCAGCTGACTGAGACAGATACTTACACCCAACTATTAGACTGAAGTCAGGGACCCCTATGGATGAATTAAGGGAAGGAAGGAGGGCGAGCCCATAGGAAGACCAGCAGTCTCAGCTAACCCCCTGGGCACTGCCAGAGACTGAGCCACCAACCAGGCAGCATACAAGAGCTGATCCGAAGCCACCACCACATATATAGCAGAGGTCTTCCTAGTCTGCCCTCAGGGGGAAAAGATGCACTTAATCCTGGAGAGACTTGATGCCCAGGGATGGGGGAGGCCTGATGGTTGGGGAGCATTCTTTCAGAGATGGGGGAGGAGGAATGGGCTGAGGAACTATGGGAGGGGTAACTGAGGGCAATGGCTGGATTGCAAATAAATGAAATAAAATAAAGAAGAAAGAAAATTATTAGAGCCAACAGTGGTTGTATACACCTTTAATCCCAGCACTCAGAATCAGAGACATGCCAATCTCTGTGAGTGTAAGGCCAGCATGGTACAGAGTGAGTTTCAGGATAGCCAGAGATGTATGGAAAAACCTTGTCTTTAAAAAAAAAGAAAAGAAAAGAAAAGAAAGAAAGTTATCAAGAAGATGAAATGGCACCAATGGAGGGACATTTGCTTTTAGGAAGAGGAAAACCCGATTGCAGAGAGAATGACTTGAGTACAGGAGTTCTGCGATGGATTTTAATAATGTTACAGAAGGAAGTTCCTTAGCAAGATAGGGCTGAAGGGAGACTACAAAATGCGCTTAATTTTGGAAAGGAGATACTTTAATCTTAAACTTGAGGAAAGAATGCATGTCACTCTGTGGCTCAAGTAAGATTAAGTGTTGGCTATCTCTGAAGAGAGAAGACTAGGGGGTCAGCTAGCTGGGACAGAATGAGTTTCCTAAAGGACAGCCTGGCACAAGGATTCCTTCCTTGCCTATCACTGTCATAGTGGGTGAGGCTGAGGGCAGAGACAGCCTCACAACGCAGCCCGAACTGGGTTTCCTTTCTGTGTCGTACCCAGCAGAACATGCTTTGGCTTTGCTTTTAGTGCTTCACTGAGAAGAGACTGCCCACATACTCCAGTATGTGGTGTGGATGGGAGTGGAGGGAAAGCAGCTTTTATCATTTAAGTGGAGCCATGAGAATGTGTGTCTCTCTTCCTAGGACCAAGAAACCTCCTTCCCCAGGGCGCTCTCAGCTCAGAGGCTGTCCCCGCGGTGGTGCTTCCTAGATGGTGAGTGTTTGGGGACCTGGCAGAGACTGAGCTGGGGAGGCAGCAGGACAGGGTGTGGCTGACTCAGCTGCTCTCCATAAAGCCTTCCTGTGACTGGCATTTACATTTCAATGGTGTAGACTTGCTGATGTTACTGGACCTTTCCTGGAGTCGTTCCCTCAAAGCACCTCAGCATCAAATTGTTTAAACTGACACTCCCTTTATCACCACCTTCCTTTCCTGAAAGCCTTGGGTACCTGCCTCAGAGTAGCGTGGGCCAGAACCTACAGTCTATAATTGCAAGATAGATATTAATTCCTGCGTTGCTTCCATGCCTTGAAATTTTCATGTTAGTTTTCTAAGGGTATCCTTTCGGTACAGTACATACATATTCGGGAAATGGAGAGTTCCATTTGTGTCTAACTTTTCTGCTGAGTGTGACCTATTGTCCACATAATGGGGTCAGTGATTGTGTGAACATTTAATGAGTCCTCCCGGCTGCCATCTCATGCATTTTTCACTTTCCTAGATGCTGTCGAATTCCAATTTTCCACCTAATTATCTACACCGCTATATATCTTTATCTCTATATATTCCTGCTTATCAACTGTCAGGGACAGCTAGCTGAAGTATATGTTGTGTGCACGGAGATAGAGTGTTTTTGCTGATGGCCCTTTGTTTATTAGTGTGTTCATTTTCAAGGATGTAAGGTTAGAATGCATATGGGTTAACTGCACAGATGGGCGCACAGGTAGCTACTAAGCTTAACACACGTCAACCAGGACACAGGTTTCTGTTCCTAGCTCAGCTGACCGATCACTTCCCTCCAATCCCTGTTAATCCATAGCTGTGGGAAGCATCATCAATTTCTGCTCCCAGGTCACAGAGAAGCACTGTGTATCTAAGGAAAGTCGTTATGTTCCATATACAGGCTTAGATAAAATTATATTAGGAACAGTAGTTTTAACTATGGAACTGTATTACTATATAAGTATTCTATTGCAAGCCTTTCTTAATTGTTTTGAGCACTTATTTTTAACTTTGTAAGTTAACATACCAAATTGGTATGTTCACGCATTGGAAATCTTTTATGGCTAACTCTTGATTGGCATCAAGGCTGGAGTCGTGGTTGAAAGAGCAAAGAAGAGTCAGTCAGTCCTGCTGAGACGATGGTGCTTTAGACTTAAGCTTTTAAGCAAGACTTCTATTTCTGAGCCCACTTTCCTTCACAGTGATATTTTCCCCTCTCTGAAAAATTGAAAATAGATCCTTCTCTCATCCAAACCACAGTGTCCCCCACCCCTGCTCCAATCCTCCCAGCATCCCCAACTCTCAACTCGCATCTCCTCTGGATCCACTCCATCTCCATCTTCCATCAGAGAAGACAACAACCAAACATGACGAAACAAGATAGTAATTAAGGCAAAAGCCCTCATATCAAAGCTGAACAAGGCAACAGGAGAGGAGGAAAAAAGACTCAAGAGCAGGCAAAAGAGTCAGAGATACAACCACTCGCACTGTTAGGAAAATACCACAGAACACCAAGCTAACAACTATAATTTATATGCAGAGGACCTGGTGCAGACCCACTCAGGCTCCATGTTTGCTGCTTCAGTCTCTGTGAGGCCCTCTGCACCTTATCTAGTTGATTCAGTAAACTTCATTCTCTTGGTGTCCTCCATCCCCTCTGATTTTACAGTTCTGTCCCCTCTTTCACAGAATTCCCTGAGCTCAAAGGCGATCCAATGGCAACCTCCGATTTAGCCTCTCTCTTCTCATAAGGTCGGGCACCCACAGCCATCTGCTGCTGGAGGAAGCTAGAGAGAATTACTTTTAAAGTTTGTGATTAAAAGCAAATATTTGCATTCTTTCTATGTTGTGCTCTATATTTCTTATTGCTTTTGGTCTGTTTTGTAAAAACTCTCATATTTGGACTCTGTTAGATTTAAATAAGAAAAAACCAATATTTTAAATATATTTAATAATAAGAAGATGCAAATACAAATATATAAAGTGTTCAAAAACATCTTATGTTTTACTTCAGAAGTTTTCTTTCTTAAATAGATAGAGCCCAGTCCCATTTAGAGATTGCTTAAACAATAATCTTTGGTTTGTCATGGCTTCCTTCAGACATGTCTCTAGGGGCAGAGTATAGTAGGGAAATGATTTCATTGTGGACATATGTGATCTCTGGCCTGAATGTTGTTTTCCAAAATGAGAGTCACATTTCTGGGAAGTCTGTCTAACTATATCTTTCCTGGGTTTCTTTACTTAATAAAATGTTTAGTTCTCCCCTCAGTTAAAGTCCTGTGCTAATTCCTAGAGACATATGAGAATAAGTAAGAAATAACCCTTTAAAGATGCAGGCTTTTTAGTCTCAGGTTCATCTTTGAAGAGATTTAAGCAACCTGTCAGCGTGCATAATGTTTAGGAGGGACAGACTTTCTGCTGTTGGTAGTTGAAATGGAGAACAGTTTTGTTATGAAGAGCCCATCAGAGATAACCTCTCAGACAATTGAAAGTCTTTATTCCAGTCATCTAGAACTGTTATACCCAGGTATTCAGGACTTAACTATAGCACAGAGTATACAGAGCACAAGGGTTTTGAGGCAAAAACTAAACCTGGCATCTCAATCAGCAACTATAGGTACTACTTTGTGTAAGCAAGAAATTTGACAGAAGCAAAGATAAGCAGTTAGTTGGAGGTGAGGGTACTGTGTAAGCAAGTACAGAAGCAGGTAAGTTAGCTAGGACATTTTGACCTTGGGTTTCTAGAATAGAGTTGTGTAATTCTCTACCAAAGAGATCAAATACTAGTTAAACCTGAAGTGGCCTCAGAAGGAATTCAAAGATGGAGAACCCTCTGCACTGTTTGCCCTACAGTTTCATGTAGACTGAGGCATTTGAGTTACATTTTAAAGACAAACAAGGTACAGACAGCTGTGTGACTGGAAGAACTTAGGAGCAGTGGAATAACAGTGGACAAAGCATAGAAGTGATGACTTAGTAATAGATTTCGAGACTGGCCACCCATGTTGTATGCTTATAATATAAGGGCTTTGATTGACAGTGTAGTAGAAAGGAAGGCTGTGAATCTGGTGACAAATATCTAAATTCCTTGTATATTTTTTTCCCCTTAGCAACTTCTGCTGACCGCTTTTATCGAATAGACAGATCTCAGGTAAGTTCTTCCCAGCTTGTTGAAGAAAGTGAAAAGTCCCCAAGTCAACACAATATGTAGTTAGCTAGTCTCATAGATGTGTTTTTCTAATGAAAAGATTAAAGCTTTCCCAGAATAGGATAGTGTTTATAAGCTAAGCCACAGTGCCTTTTGTCTGCATGCGTTTATGACTTATGGGCTCAGTGAAATGGCTTGACATGGAAAGTGAGCATAGATAGCAACTTGAACGACAACTACTATTACAGTTCTGTACTTGAAGTTTTCTGTTACAAGGAACTTATACTCTGACTAAAGTAAACCTTATGTTTTTTAAATGCATTTTGGTTAGCTAATATTAATATATATTAATAGATTTATTAATACTCTCTTATAGTTAGTAATGAGGAAAAAATTATGTTTACCCATAACAACTCCTCCCTCTATTCAAATTTTCCTGGAAAAATACTATGCAGTATTGAACCCATTAAAACCAGCTTTTTCTTGATCATTGCCACTTAGCTTTGACCATGTTGTGGGGCAGAAGTCCAAGCTGTCATGTACTCGGGTAGCATGCAGGATGTCACATCTTTGATAGTGTCTGGGAAGAAGCAAGGGAAAGATCATTTCTGATTATATAGACACGATCCTGGTTAGGTGTGAGTCCTGAACCAGGCAGGTTCACCTCTCCCCATTGTCCTCTGCCAGAGACACTATGAAGTCAGGGAGGGATGGTAGATGTTCAGGCTCCTGGGCAAACAGTAGAATTATTTGGTTGTTGTGCAATTCACTTCACCCTGAGGCCAAGCATGCTTGGTTCTGTTATTCTGAGGGTGGTGATGTCAGCACCTTGACAGGTTTGTTTTCCTCCCTTAGGAACATTTGCACTTTGTGATGGAGATTTCTCACGATGAGATTTTTATTCTGGACCCAGATATGGCAATGTCACAGCAGGCAGGGACACCTCCAGGAATGCCTGACCTGGTGGTTGAGCAGGCTTCTGGGTGAGTGTGTTTCTCCTCTGTTGGTGCTGCCTTGGCTGGCTGTGGAGTGATCTTCGTATCTCCTTTGACTTTGGATTTGATATTCTAATGATATAAAAACATTTTGAATACAGATTTACTAATGTTTCCTTAAAGAAAAGCAAAGTAAAGGAAAGGAAAGTAAAAGTAAAGGCACCTGGTTCTGTAGTTGTTCCATTTTATAGAGATATATTTTTTCCTCCAGTTTTTTTTGGTTATTATTATCAAAGTACTTCGTGCTCATTTCCATATAGTTTAAATAGGTAGCTATATTACTCCCAAATTTGAGCAGCACTAAAGAAAAATTGCACAGATTATTGTACTAAAACTCATCTTGAATGATTGGACAGATGGCTCAGTTAGAAGAGCATGTACTTTTCTTGCAGAGGACCTGAGTTCAGTTCTCATCCCTCCAATTGGGTGTCTATACCACTATATTCCAGCTTCAGGAAGACTGATGCCCTCTTCTGGACTCTGGGGACACTTAGACTCACATGTATATACAACCACACATAAATACACACTGTATATATCAATAAAAGATAAGATAAATCTTTTAAAAATGAATGTTTGAAACTGAGTCAAAATTGAAAATTAGAAAATTTTACAAAACAAAACCAAAAAAAAAAACCATTCAAGCATTCCCACATACCTAACAGAAATTTCTAAAGCAAGTGACACTATAGTTATAATCATAGTAAAATCACAATGTCCAGTCTGTAGTGAGTTTACTAAATAAATCAAGACCCTATGCCATGTCTAAGTTATTTAAAAAAAAACTTTTAACAATTCAAAAATACTTATGAGTTGTTATGCATCAGATACTTGTGTAAACATGTGAGAGCCAGTAGTGCAAAACTAAAAACAGACAAATGTCTCTGTCCTTGTGTAAAAGGAATAGATAGCAGCTCCCTGGTGTATGGGAGTGATGGCTGAAGTACAGGTTGCCCTCAAAAGCATGTGCAGGCACTCATAGCAAATGCACATTGTATGTCGTAATGATAGCATAATCAAGTGTACTCTTCGGAGAAAATCCAGTCTGATGCCGTGTCCTACTAAAGAAGAGGCAGATGTCGGTGTCAACACCCCACATAATAAAGACTCTTATATTTATTTGATGAGGAGGGAGCCATCTGTTAAGGTAGCTTTGGGCTTTTTCCTCTTTCTATGCCAAGTAGTCACCCAAAGGGACAACTTCTTTTTTGGTTAGAGTTTTGTCACTTAAATCCAAACACAGAGTGTGGCCTGAAAATCCACCCTTGCTTTCTTATTTCTCAGCTGTTAGTGCCTTCAGAAAACAAAGATGCTATAAGAAGAAGGTTGGGCTTTCTTGTTTTCTAAATTATATTTCTGTGCCTGGCTCCTTTAATTCTATACTCATGTCACATGTAATAAAGTGGCTTAATCTTCAAATCAAAATGTCTCATCAATATAAAAAAGGACCAAGTCATACGAGTTACTTTCAGGGCTGTTGAGAAGCGATGAATACGAAGTATGTGTCCAGTAAAAATGGATTTCTCTGCTCACGCTTAAGACAAGATCATTATGAGAGAAAAGCAGAGTAAGATGTACAGTTACTTTCTGGTGCCATTTTTGCCCCAGGCTGTCTGACTGGTGGAACCCGGCCCTGAGGAAACGTATGCTGAGTGACAGTGGGATGATCACACCCCACTATGAGGACTCAGATCTGAAAGACTTCAGCCACTCCAGAGTGCTACAGTGAGTCTCCTGCCATTTTATAGTTATTGTTTTGCGATTATAATATAGTTACATCAAATCACCTCACCTTTTCTTCCTCCATACTCTCTCTCCCTTATACCCCTCCTAGTTTTCTTTCATATTCACAATCTCCTTTTCATTAATTGTTGGTGGTGGTGGTGCTGGTTCTGATGCTGGTGGCGTATAACCGGTTCAGTCTGAATAATATTACTTGTATAAGAGCCATAGACTATCTAACAAAAACCACAAGGGCAGGCATGAGAAATGATGGTCAGGGCTGTCCAAGAGATTCTCAGAACACCGTAGGCTAGGCTATTGTTACTGCCCTTGGTTCTTCCCCAGAGGTGGAAGGTAAGTCCTATTGCTGAGAACACCGTGCATGTCAGACAGAGAGCTCAGAGGCTACTAAGCTGGGTCTTGCTGTTTTCTATTGTTGTGATTGCTAGGGAGAGGGGACTGAAGCAAGAGCTGCCTTCAGTGGTACTCAAGCTGTCTCATGTCTCTGTGTCACTCTTGACATTTACTTGGCTTAGGTTTCGTCCTGGTGGATCTCCATCTTCTATTTTTCTCCCTTGTGAACGACCTTGAGACTGTATGCCTGGGTCCATAAACACTTTTAACTTCACTAGTGTTTTTGTTCCAGGAGACCAGAGTATGTCAGATCCCCCTATGAACTCTATCCTGAAGACATACATCAGAGTTTTGAATAGTTAGGAAAGGACACACAGGCTTTCATTGTGTGACCACTGGGATTTGTTACTTTGTCTCAATTTCTGAATGTAGGTATGTGCTTTATGTAATATTGTCCAATAGTTACTTTTTTTCCTACAGTGGTGTGGTAGTTTTCTTTGTTATTGTGACATAATTTAGAATCACCTGAGAATAGTCTCAGTGTGGGATTGTCTAGATCCTGTTGGCTTATGGATAGGCCTGCCTGTGAGGAGTTCTCTTTATTATGTTAATTTATGTGGGAAGAGCCACTCTAATGGTAGGTAGTACTTTTTCCTGAGTTTGAGTCTTAGATTTTAAGAAAGAAGAGAAAGTTGGCTGAGCAGTCAGCTTGCATGCATTAATTCGTCTCTCTCTGCTCTTTAGTGTAAATGAGGTATGACAGCTACTTCCAGGTCCCTCCACCCTGAATTCCACACAATGATGGACTGTAACCTAGAATTTTGAGCTACAATTATTGCTTAAGTAAGATGTCTAAGCTGACATAAGGAAGCTGGGACAAGGCAGGTGTTATTTATGTGTAGATGTGGCATGTAATAAACAAATACAACTCCTGAGTGTAGGTGAGTATCTGCGGCATCCTTTTTCTTCAGGATGTGTGACCATGGTTGGAAAGCAGTGTGCTGTTTGGAATTTTGCAGAAAAGTTGATACTTTGTGCTATGTGAATCATCTTATCTGCCCATATTTTGCTACAGGAACACATTATAGGGTACAATCTGAGGTCACAATTAAACCTATTAGTACCTAGTTTTAACTCAGGACAATCATCCCATCTCAGAAGTTATAGAAGAATATTGTCATTTATGAAACTGATCTTTCTTTTGTTTTGTTTTGCTTTGTCTTGTTTTTGCAGTTGAGTACAGGGTTCTAATCAGATAGTGATACTGACTTTAAACCGTTCAATCTTACCTTTTCACAGAATAAGAAGATTACTTAGCTTCTTAGGAGTCCACAGTTAAATGAAGAGGCAAGACACTGCATTGTTTCTTAAGAAAGGCCGGAAGCAATTTCCCCAAGACAAAGGGAGAAAAATGAGAAATCTCAAGCTAATTATTTCATTGGCAAAGGTTCTACTCAGACACCCTGAGGGCAAAAGGAGACTTCATTTTAATTACTTCCCTGTATGACTTCTTATTTTTTTTTTATGTGAGGAGGAGAAAGGAAAAAATGAATTGCTATGGGTTTTCTCTTTTTAATTAAACCATGTTGTTGGTTCCGTGTGGCTTTTTGATTGCTTACAATTCAGAGTGTTTTTCCATTTCCTTTTTGTACAGAATTAGGGCTTGTGAACAGGAATGACTCAGCCATCCATGAATGGCTAAATAAGTGGCCATCTATGTGTGGGCAGGCTTATTGGAAAATTAGACTTTTAATTATCTGCAGAAATACATATTAAGCCTTTACAGACCAGCTGAGTGTTTCAGTGTGTCTGTGGTTTCCAGAGAGTGGACTATTATTTCAATCTAGGCTGCAGTAGTCAATGCCCTCCAGAGAGCATACTCATATTCATGTCATAACATAGAAAAAGTTGTTTCTGAAAATAGTGACATTCTTCCCAAGAATTGCACATACAGGTAGCACTCCCAGAAGAGCCTATGTCGGAATGAGCGCTTAGTTTCATTGTGTTTCTCTGTTCCACAGCAGATACCAAAGTGCTTTATGTAAACTGGTTCAGTGTTTGCAAATAATCCACTTCTCTAATCTACATGATACCTAATATGAGATAAACAGGCCATAGGCACTTGTAGTACTGTATTATTTAGGGAAGAATAAGAAGAGCCATACATGTTCACTACAAATAATATTTTACTGAAATATTTTTATCATTGCTTGATTGAATCCATGGGTCTCCGGACATGGAACACTCACTGTAGTGCCTTTTTTATTAATTGATGAAGGAGGTACAATTCCTGGGCAGGTGAGTGTGGGCTGGAAGCTGGCTGAGCGTAAACCAGAGAATAAGTCAGTAAGTAAGCCAGAGAGCAACATTCCTCCATGTTTTTTTTTCCAAGCCCTTGCTTGAGTTCCTATCTTGACATCTCTTGATGATGAACTATGATCTGGAAGTATTAGCCTAAACCTTTCCTCTCCAGTTACAGCATCTTGATAAATGTGTCTTTCTGTGTGTGTGTGTGTGTGTGTGTGTGTGTGTGTGTGTGCACGCGCATACATGTATTTTCAAAGCTTAACATTACAAAGTATTTTCACAGTAGAAATATTTAGGAATAAATACATAAAAAGAACATGAGGGATTATTGCAATGAGACTGGTGTCTGCTAGACCAGTCTTAAAACCTTAATTGATGTGGGAAAAAAACAGGTTTAATTTCATCATCTTGATGATATTAAGTAACTGATTTCTGAAGAACAAATCAAAAGCGCTGAAGCTGACAAATATTATCTATCAGAATTTGACATGTTAAAAACATTCACAGAATGATTTGTGACTCTAGATCATTTATCAATAAAAGTTATTGTATGCAAATATGCCAAGTATTTCATTTGACAGGAGAACATCAGTAAAGAATACAGACATACTTATTGCAGCTTGATATGCCAGAGCTGGTTGATATCTATACAAGGCTTCCCCTTTTCTGAAGAAAAACAGGAGGAGTGGGTGGAGAAGGAAATGGCTGGAGGGGAAACTGTAGTCGAAATGTTAAATAAATAAATTAATTAAAAAGAATAAAGAAATTAATTAATTAATTAGAATAAAGACAGGAAGGGAGCCAACAGTAAAGATAATGAAATAAATGACTGATAATTACATTGAAAGAAAAAGAGTTGTTTCCTTGAGAACATAAATAAGAGGGTCAATATTCTGGAAAGAATTCTTACACACACGCACACTTACACACACACACACACACACCAGGGGATGGGGGAAAGATGATGAATGCACAGTTTGCCTCGGCTCATTCTTCCTCCACAGCACTAAGCTCACCCCTAGGCTTTTCCCTGGCCAGAGCCCCCCTGGATCTTCCTGCTATTTTCTCAGTGTTTTGAGCACTGAGTTTCTTCGATGCATCATTCTCCATCCTTGTTCAAGGATGGAGAGGGAAGCCATGGACAGGGAGAGCTCTGTTTCTGTCTCTGCTGTATCTTACTGAGTTTATACTGTTTCCATTCAGCACTATGAGCATTTGGGGCTAGGCATGTACACGCCCATGTACGCACAGGTCTGCCAGGAAGGTCTCTGATTCCAGAGATGGATGCACAGTATGCACACTGTCTTCAAAACCTGAGGACAGAGTACAGGACAGTCTTGAAGAATTTATTTTGAAAGAAACTGGCAAGCAGTTCCTGACACATTTTCTTGTTAGGATCATAATGAATTTGCCTTAAGGCTTAACAAATTAGTTTGTGTGTCTAAGAATGTTTATTTAAACTAGCATGTAGGGTGGAGCCGTTGCCCAGTAAGTAGACTCCTTGCATAGCATGTACAAAGTGCTGCGTTTGATAACAACAGCTCATCATGTGTTTGCACTCAGGGCTGGTGGTAGGAACATCTCAAGTACAAGATCACCCTTAACTTCATATTGAGCTGCAATTTTAGATCTTGTTTCAAAATGTTGCCCTTATCATTAATTGTTCCATGATTGCCCTGAGTGAAACTATATTTTGTTTAGATGGAAGACTTTAAAAGATGCAATTCTTATTTAGGTCTGTATCTTGTATTTAGGCAATTAAATTTTATCAAACAATCTACTTGGAATGTTCATCCCTGCATCTGTGAGACAGGAAAAGAAATGATTACTCCAGCATGCTACGAACACTCTGAAAACGTGGAAGACTAACATTGGAGTCCACTGGGGAGTTGGCAGGCACAGGAACCAGAAGTGGACTTAGTTTCTGAGTAACAGTAATCTTCAGGTTTCAGGTTTTTGGTTTATGAGACTCTCCTAAATTGATGGAAAGACATGCATTCATTTATTATATTATGTTTATTATAATAATATATAATTATCCCCAAGTCCTAAACCTGAAAGGTCCAAGGTAAAGGAATACCACCCAAGTAAGAGGGGACCGTCTTGTCCCTAGCCTAAGATCTGAGGGTGAGGTTGTAGCGTGCAGCCCCCAGACAGGCCATTTCCTGACACTAATGAGAAGTGAAATTGAGTTCATTATAAATCCATGGAGCTGTCTGTGTCTCAGCTTTTATCTGTTACCTTGTCAGCTGATGGAGCCTGATGGATCTTTGTGATTGGAAGAATAGTTCACTCACAGACAGATTGTTAGAAAGCTTGAGCTATGGTGTGTGAAGTCTGAT